AAAAAAAAAAAACATTAACAATAAATACTTACATCAAACATTCTTTTTTTCATTGGATTTTGATCCCGATCCACTTTGCAAAGTAGATGTTGTAGACGAAGGCGGAAAAGGTTGTGGTTGTGAAACATCACTGATATTTTTCTGACTATTTAAAGGCTCGACCAATTGTCGGAAGATACCGTTGGATTCCTTATGAAAAAGAGATTCCTATACATATATGTTTTTGTAACCCAAAATTTGGAATTCTGGTGATATTACAAAATAATATACTGCACAATTCTTTAATATTTTTGAAACTCTAAAATGATTTAACAAAGTTTGAGATGTTGTATGATGAAACTAAACATGTCGTAGATATATCAAGTCGATAGTTTCAAAAAGATATATGATTTGTTAAAATTCACCATCGGTAGATGAGTGACGAACGGTGACTAATGGTGGTGGCCGATAGCCACGAGATGGTCTGATCTTCAATTCTAGTATGCTTTTTTATTTAATTATCCTATTTTTTTTTAGTTATTTCTATTATATACATGAGTAAGAAATTAAATACAATATAGCATTGTAAATGAAACAAATAGTAATAGTATAATAGGTATTTCGCATGTACAAGGTATACGAGGCAATCAACATACCTTTTGCCTCGTACATTAAACTTAGGGTTGAAAGAGGGAATAAATATTATCAAATATATAAGAGTACTACCTGACCAGACATGTCAAAACGGGCCTAAGCCCGCGGGCCAGCCAGCCCCATCCCACCAAAAGGGTGGGGTGGGCTAAAGATTTGTTGGCTCGCTCGGGCTAGTCCGCACGGGCCGCAGGCTTGCCCGTCGCAAAAAAAAAAAAAAGGAATAATATATATATAAGGGCGGATCAAATGAGGACAACTCTTAAAATGAGGACACCTCTTAACCATTGTTGTGCAACACTTTATCACTAACTATGCATCATTTTTACACTAACTTTGCAAGTTTAATTGTATGTAGTTGCAATGTTATTTTTTCTGTAGTTGCAAGGTTAGTTGTTTGTTGGTGCTAGGTTAATTGTCTGTAGTTGTTAATTCTGTATTGCTAGGTTAGTTGTCTGTAGTTGCAAGTTTAGTTCTATCTAGTTGCAAGGTTAGTTGTCTGTAGTTGCAAAGTTAGTTGTCTGTAGTTGCTAGGTTAGTTGTCTGTAGTTGCAAGGTTAGTTGTCTGTAGTTGCAGGGTTAGTTGTATCTAGTTGCAAGGTTAGCTGTTTGCAGTTGCAAGTTTTGTTGAATGTAGTTGCAAGTTTAGTTATCTGCAGTTGCAATGTTAGTTGTCTATAGTTGCAAGTTTAGTTATCTGTTTTTGCAAGGTTATTTGTGTTTTAATTGCAAGATTAGTTATCTGTAGTTGCAATATTAGTTGTATCTAGTTGCAAGGTTAGATATATTTAGTTGCAATGTTAGATATATTTAGTTGCAATGTTAGTTGTATCTAGTTGCAAAGTTATATATCATTAGTTGCAAGGGATTAATAATGCATACTAGTGGTCAATGGTCAACGTCGGAAGTCAACGATCAATGATGGAAGTAAAAAATTTTCGCCAGAACGGTCAAAATAATATTTAAAGAACTAAAATAATTAAAATAAAAAATTATTATTTAAATAAAGAGTTAAATCTTGGTCACACATCTTGATACCCTTTTAGTAGCTAGTATTGAGTCTCACGTCTTCACTTTAAATAAGTGGATGTAGGCTATGTTTGGTAGACAAATAAGCTAGCTTATAGCTTATTTGGTTAGCTTATAAGATGTTTGGTAAAAATAGTTGATAAGCTAACTGATAGATGATAAGCTAACTATAGCTTATCAGTAATTTTTTAGCTTATAGTTTATGACTTATAACTGATAAGCTAGCTTATATGATAAAAGTGTTTGGTAAAATGAGCTGATAAGCTAGCTGGAATAAAAATTCAACTAGCTTATTTGAAAAGCTACATAAGGAAACTTATCAAATAAGCTCGGGCTTTTTAAAAAAGCTCGTCCACCAAACGAGGCTTATTCGAATATAGGGAGCTTATAAGCTAACAAAATAAGTTATAAACTAGCTTATTTGTCTACCAAACATGACCGTATTGGAACCAATATATATATACAACAAATAAATATTGGACATATTTCATTTACATTCTTAGAGCATCTTTATCAACTCAATGTTTATAAACTTCATTTCACACTTTTTAACATGTCACATCATCAAAAATTTCGTTCTGCTCATACAACAATAAATCTCCAATAATGATAAACCATATAAATCTACGTTTGATAGTCACATATTTTCCCATATGCTCCAACTTCCTCTCCAATATCTCTTTGTTTTCTACTTTAATATTATTTAATGAGGTTTAGAGGAGTTAACATTTGCAATGCTACTCTAAAAATATAAACCTCAAATCTATATACTTTTTGTGGTAAAAACTCAAAGGCTTTGTTTGGTAATTAGCTGTAATAACTGTTTTGACCAGCTGTTAGTATTGGCTGTTTTGACCAGCTGATATTATTAGCGACTCAAAAAAAAGATGTTTGGTTAGATAGCTGATTGATTTGTAAAAATATATGTAATATTATTAACTTACTTCTTTTGTTATATATATAAATATTTAAAAAGCAATAAATACCAATTGTATTTATTTAATTTTGTATCAACAAATATTAAATTGATTCTTAAATTATATTAAGTTTTCATACTTATTATAATTATTAAAGTATATTAATAGAAATAAATTAAAAATATAAAAAATGTAATAATGTACTTAAATACAAATTGGTATTTGAAAATGACAACAAAATTTTCATCCTTATCTTTTAAATAGCCCATTATATAAAATTTAAAAAACTGATACAAATAAATCCAAGAAACTAGATGTGCTAATTAAAATTATATTTGGTAATCAAAATTTTTTATTTATTATCAATATTTTAATTACTCTTATCAATACTATAATAATATAATATTTTGTAATTAATCATTGTTATAATTATTTAAATGTCAAATCATTTATAGTTTTAATGCTTAATAGAGTTGTTCTGTAATTACAATAATAATAATAATATTAAAAATAATAATATTAATAGTAATGATAATAATATTAATAATAGTAATGATAATAATAGTAATAGTAACAATAATAATAATAATATAACATACATATTTATTTATAGTGTCCAACAAAAATAAGAAATCAAATAAATATGTCAACAGTGGTTTTATGTTAATTTATTGCTTTAATTTTTTTAAGTGCTAATATATGGACTTTTCTTTGTGCGTAACTTTCAGAATCAATTCATTGTCCAAATCATTTTTTTTCGGTATTTTCAATCACAAAATCAATTATGTTACGAGTGGTAAGCAAAAAGCCAAATGGAAACGCTGTTAAGTGGAAAAGCTAATTTATCAAACGCAATTATTAGCTAGTAAACAAGTTAAATAAGCTATAAAGTGGTCAAACAGCTAAAAGTTGGCTTAAAAGCCAATTAACAAACGCAGCCAAAGTGAAATATATAAACCTCCACTAAAGATGCTCATAGTGTGGAGTGAGCAGCACATCTTCATCATTACGAGAGGTCTCGGTCAATGACGTCTCAACTCTCATGAAATGTTGATTCAATGTATAAATGTTCTCATATGCAGGCTCGTAATTGACCTCAACTCTCATGAAATGTTGATTCATTGTATAAATGTTCTCATACACAGGCTCGTTAGCGAATCTCCAGACCACGTCGGAGATGCTATACGAGCTTGGGGCCATTCGGGTCCAGATGTCTAAACAATGGTGTTGTGGATTTAGCCGACGATCATCTCCACCGACCTCGCTTTCACCTCATACAGCGTGAGCTCCAGGCGTGAGTAGCTCGCCGGAAGTCTGGAGGAGCACCGGATGCTTTGCGCCTTGGCAGCATAGAGGCAAAAGGGATTAGGGCAGTAAGGCGACGGTCCAAATTAGGACTTGGTATACGAAATTCGAGCTGGCCAATTTTAGGCTACTTGATCTATTTTGATCTTAGTGATGACGGAATATGTGATCTAGGCCTAGACTTACAAAGAAGAAAAGACGAGAATAGAAAGGGCGGGATT